AGCAGAGCCGGGTCCAGGAGGTCGGGCCTGTTCGTAGCTCCGATGACAAACACCTCTCTGGCGGAATGAAGGCCGTCGAGCTCAGCCAGGAGCTGCGAGACAACCCTGCAGGGAGCAAGACGGGATGCTCACAACTAGGCCTTGGCAAGTCCCCCACTGTCACCCTCAGCCACCAAACGGGAAGAGGAATAAGCGAGGCCACTGGCAAGTGCATGTCTCGAGCTTCAGCTCCTGATTCTCTGCCCGACACAGTCATCCAGAACTCCCTTCCTCAGCGCAGCCGGCGAGCCTGGGACGCATTGCAGAGCGCAAACCCCTGGTACCAAGAGAGTCCTTCAGGCCTGTGCTCGGCTCTGAACCCTCCCAGGATGGCCACGTGCGCTTACGCTTGCTACCAGACACCGGCGACACTGACCAAACACAGGCAGGCATGCGTGGCTGCGGCCCCGGTTCCCCGCTCAGAAGTACCAGCTGGTCCCAACTCTCCCCTCTGCCCAGCGTGCTGCGCTGCAAGGCGGCCCCGTCGCCCACACCGGGACACCCGGGCAGGCTAGTGACATGCCAACGTCCCCAGGGCAGCGAGCGGCGCGCGGCGCACATCTAGGCCTGTGGCCGGCAGGCTTACACCGGTCCGGCAGCGCCACACTTCAGTGCTGCACAGACCTCCTGGAGCGGGGATGTCTCCACCGGGGTCTGGGATGACTGAGGTGACCGATGGACACCACGCTCAGCCCCTTCCGGCGCTGCTGGTTTGTGTGTATGCTGGGGGAAACTGCAGAACCCCTCACGGATGGAGGGGAAGGTTGGATGGGGACTGTGAGCTCAGAAGAAGAGGCCTAGGGGGAATAACCCTATTTGTGGGTATCTCCAAGCTGTACACACTTTGCTTCTCCCAGAGGCAGCTGAAAGATTTCCCACTGCAGGGAAACAGCAGCTAATAGGAGAGAGCACGGCGTGGGTGTGAAGGATGGCCTTGGAGAGGCCAGAGGGAACAGTTGGCAGCCACAGTAGCAGCTGGAGGAGACTCTGTCTTAACCAAATGTTTGCACAACCAGCTTGGGCAACCGTGAACCTGCGGCAATGCAAACAGCAGTACTAATGTCCAAAGAGAGGAGACGGGCCTCGCAGAGGAGCTGAAGGGAGCAGGGAGGGAAAAAGTGGAGAAAGAGAGCTGGGATGGACTCTGCCTTGCGGGGCAATCCTGTGCACCCCCCCGGGCTGAGGCAGGTTTGCTGCTCTCCCAAGGACTCACGATGCTCACTCACCTGTCCATGACACCCCCCGAATCTCCACTCCGCCCACGACTGGGGGCCAGGGAATCCAGCTCATCAAAGAAGATGATGCAGGGAGCAGCTGCCCTGGCTCTGGCAAACACTGGGAAGAGACAGCACAAAAAGGTGAGAAAGACCTGGAGGAGCAGCCAGCAGCAACAGGTCCTGCCACATCACGGGTGGGGAAGAGCTGTGGATGGAAACCAGTTGCCCACTGCCTCGCCACCACCGACCCCTCCTGCCCTCTCAGCGGGAGCACGGACAGCACCCAGCACCGTAGGCCCCGAGTCTCAGCTCTGTCTCCAAGGGGCTGCTGTCCCACCAGGAACACCAGGGACAAGAGTGACAGGAGCAGAGAGAGCAAGAGGGGAAGCTGCAGCGAGGCAGGGAACAGTCTAGGTGTATGAGACAGCTGAGTTGGTGTCCTTGCTGGTAGCTGTGGTGGGAGCTGGGAGGAAGGGCTTAAGCACGGCCTCCTCCCTTCCAGCACCACAGAAAAGCCCCGTCTTCCCACAGGCAGGAGCAGGGCGCATCTGCTCACCGTTACGCACGTTCTCCTCACTCTGCCCAACGTACATGTTGATGAGCTCTGGGCCCTTCACGCTGTGGGGCGGAGAGAAGAGGGAGCCAGTCAGAGCATGCCCATCCACTGCCCGGGGAAAGAAAGTCCTACCGCGTGACCCCCCAGCCTTCACCTCAGGAACGTCATGGAGCACGTGGTTGCCACGGCTTTTGCCAGCAAGGTCTTCCCTGTCCCTGGAGGCCCATACAGCAGCAGACCAGAGCGGCACAGACCCAGCGATAGCAGCTCTGGGTGCTCCAGGGGCAGCTGGATCGTGTCCAGGATCTCCTTCTTCACCTCCTGGAGCCCACCAACATCCTGCCAGGACACGGAGGGGATCTGCCAAGAGAGGGAGAGACCCTGTCAGCACTTCTTTCTGAGCCCTGAGCAGCTCTTGCCCCTGTGGGATACTAGTCATCAGTCCCTCATGCCATCAGCTACGCAGGGAGTCGGCTCCTTGCTGCTCTGCCCAGGCATCCCTGCTGCAGGATTCCCCAGCATCCACATTTCCCCTCTCCCGAGCTTTGCAACGGGGAAAACAAACTGCACATGTCCCCAGACAAGCTGCTCTTGCCGTGCCTCTCTCCTTATTTTATGCTGAGCCAAATAACCTTGG